AACCAGATTTCAATGCATGGATATGTAGAAGTATTACAAACAGCAGCGGGTGAAGTTAATCACATTTCTGAAAAAACCTTTGTAATCAAATATTTCAGCTATATGTTCTCATAAACGTTGGGAGTGATACAGTTAAATACAATCTAAATATTCTTTATTGCAATATTTAAGAAATTTACAGGGCAGGACGCTCAAGTTTCAAACAAATAGATGGACGAGAGCTTGAAAATGGAACTTACACAACACCAATTAAACTAATTAATTTGAGTGGTTTAGTAACAGGATGCAAACTAGAGATTTGAACAGAATCAGTGCAGATACTGTGTGAGCATTTCTATTCACTTCAGCTCTCCTCCACTGAAGATGAGCAGAATTCACAGAATTACTCTGTGGCTGAACTGAGCATCAGATTTCTAAGACAGCGAGACGTTTCTTCAAATGATCCAGTGACTAAAACTCATTTCAGTGCAACACAAACAGAAATAAAATGACATGGAGATGAATGAAAGCAGCTCATCCAAACCTCACAGAGCTGAATGTTAAAATTAAGCTGTCCAGTGTGGATTTGAGCAGATGTCTGCACGAAACACGACTAGTGATCGATTAGTCCTCTGATTGTTCTGTTAGCACCTCACCGCTAGATGGCGCTGCTCACTGTCAGCCTCAGCCCTAGAGTTCAGCGATGATGTCATAGGCTCCTTGGTGATGACCTCATCTCCACAGCAACGACCAGCTCACAGCCTCTCAGGTGTGTGTTCGGAAACGCTCACAAACACATTCTAGAGGTCATTTCTTTCTGAAATCCCCAGAGAGAGAGAATCACATTAGTGCAATATCACACACACACACAGAGACAAACACACACACACACACTCAGTCACTCACACGCACACGCACACACACTCAGTCACTCACACGCACGCATGCACAGATTGCACACACACAGACACAGACACACACACTCTCTCTCTCTCTCACAGTCACTCACTCAGTCACTCGCACACACACACACACACACACACACACACACACACACACACAC